AGGAAGAAGAGAAGAGAAGAGAAGAGAAGAGAAGAGAGAGAGAGAGAGAGAGAGGGAGAGGGAGAGAATAAAAATCAGACTTAACGATGCCGTCATCGAGACGAATAAGAAACGACGAACGATCGAGCGGAACCGCGATGTAATGGAGAAAGAAGATGGAAAAGAAGAAAGGGAAAAGGGATGAGCGATTGAAACTCACGCTCTGCAGAAAGGGCCAGATGCCGTCGATGCTGTCCGTGGCTGTGAAGAATGGCTCATCACTCGACATCGTGTCTGCCTGTTGTGACGCGCGAGTTTTCGTGCGAGGATTCCTTGCGACGACTAGGAGGCACCGAAGAGAAGAGAGTAAAGCGCAAAAGAAGGCGAGCGCATCCGTGCGACGAGGATCCAAACACACGCGTACGACTCTCACAATCACCACCGGCGCGACTCGCGACTGACTGACTGACTGACTGACCGAACCGGGCCGAGTCGAACCGAGTCGCGCCGAGTCGAGTCGAACCGAGCCGGGACGAAATGCTCGACGGGATCGCCCCGGGAGTGCGAACGGAGTGAAGTTGGCAAGGCTTGCACGGCGCGTCAATACAAGTTGTACCATAAAATAAATTGAATAAAAAAAAATAATAATAATAGTAATTGAATAAATACACTCATTGTACTTGACATGAAATAGATGAAAGTTTTGGTGCAGCTCGGTGTAATGATAAAGGCGTAAACTCGAGTATAAGAAGCTCATAGGACAATTTTGAGACACGATTTTATCGACAATGTCGCGAAATAGATGTGACTTGTAGTTTCAAGTTCCAAGCTCAATTATAGACGTTGGTGGCGGTAGTGTACAGCGATTTCGATGATAGTAGACCAGAGAGAAGGTTTTTCTCTGCTGCGTTTAGATTTTTTTTTGACAGTCAAAGATACGTCCGTCTCGTTTCAAATGCAGGAAACTTAGCGTTTTTTCTTTGACATTCGTGAAACAACTGATCGAGCACGTGTATAATATCGCCTTCGATTGGCTGTAATTGATTTCCTGAATCTGCAGCTGCTACATTCGCAACTACCGGCTGATATTACACGTGACTGGCCGGCTTTATTACACGTGCATTATTGTGTAAACATCTTCAGAAATGGCAACTAAAACGAAAGTTGTTAATTTGGCCAAGATGTCCAGATTATTTCAACTAATAGAGACGAGTGGATCACTCGACAGAGAAAAGGCGGAGATTACATCTAAAAGTTACAAGGTACTTTTCTATTTTTTTGTACTTCTTTTGTTTTAAACATTAAAAATTTTTTACAAAGTTTAAAAAATATGGCAAAATCTTTTTCGATGCTTTTTAAAAACATATTCTTAATAGTTTGATAGAAATTTTTATATTAAATAAGTATTTCTTAAATTTATAATTAAGAAATAATATGTAATTTCTTTATAAACAAAATTATGTATCTAATTCTAGATATTTTTAAAGTTTTATACATTTTATAAACATCAATCTGCTTAAATTAAATTGGTTCTCTTTAACTTGAAGGTTTTAGATCCTGCATTTTTTCTCTATCTTCTAAAATTTTAATTCCAGTTAATGGTCAATTATGGAATTATTACACCAGTCAGCATTGGCATGTATGCTTTGCTGCCACTTGGAATGCGAATTTTAAATAAGTTAATCAACCTTGTTGACAAAGAAATGGCAAATATTGGCGCAGAAAAAATATTGCTCCCAGCATTAACTCCTGTTGCATTATGGAAGAAAACTAAGAGATATGACTCTAACAAAACTGAACTATTTATGCTTAAAGACAGACACCAAAAGGAATATATATTAAGTCCAGTAAGTAAGGAACATATTTGTAATTTTCTATTGAATTTCATATCTGAAGTCTAAGGAAAGTTATGGATTTTAATTTTTTAAAGAATTATTGAAAAATTTCTAAAAAAAAAATAATATAATTTCAATTAATAAAAATTATTTCAAGGAATTAACAAAAATTAATCTATGGAATGAGATAAATCTTTTCTACCATGAATGATTCATTTATTACTTATTTGACTATATTAAAAAAATATTAAAATAATAATAACACAATGTTATTAAGTTTTATTAGAAAGGCTTTTGAGAAATTTTTTATTATTATTTTTATTATTTTTTATTATTAGACACATGAAGAAGCAATCTGCAACTTGGTATCATCAATAGGACGCATTTCTACTAAGTCATTACCCTTAAGACTATATCAAATTTCTAGTAAATGGCGAGACGAAATGAAACCACGCCATGGTTTTCTACGTAGTCGAGAATTTATCATGAAAGATTTGTATACATTCGATACTAACTTGGACAATGCACAACATACGTATGATTTAGTCTGCGAGTCTTATAATAATATTTTTAAGCAGATTGGTATAAAGTACACGAAAAGTAATTAATACTTCTAATTATTAGAATCTATGTATTTATAGATATATAGATAATAAAATCGAGAAAGTTTTAGAGGATTATTTAATCATGATTATTAAAAGGCATAGGTGATATGGGGACAATTGGTGGTCTGCTGTCACATGAATATCATTATATGTCTGATATCGGTGAAGACATGATTCTTCAGTGCCCTTCGTGTCATTTCTCTATTAATCAAGTTATTTCTAAAGCGACAAATTGTCCGGAATGTAAAAACGAACTACGTCAACATACTGCTGCCGAGGTAATAAGAATTTCTAAGATTTAATTGATATAAATTAAAAAAATATAAGCCTAAGAGCTTGTATGTCACAAAAAAATATTATATTATAAATGATAATTGCAGGTGGGACACACATTTTTATTGGACACAAAATATTCGCAACCATTACAAGCAATGTTTATGGAACAGAATAAATTAAAACCTATGGTAATGGGCTGTTTTGGTCTGGGATTAAGTCGTATCATGACCTTAGCTCTTGAAATCTTATCAGTCAACAACGAAATAAGGTGGCCTATTAAATTAGCACCATATACAGTATGCATCATACCGCCCAAGGTAGTAAAATAATAAAGAGAATTTTATATTTTGGAAAAATATTATACATTAAATTGTAACCCACAGGCTGGAAGCAAAGAAGAAAGTACATCTATCTATGTAGAGCATCTGTTTGAGATTCTTCGCAAACGCGATATTGATGCGATATTGGACGATCGTACGCATCATACAATTGGTAAACGGCTGTTATTCGCACGTGCAACAGGTTACCCTTACATAATTGTTATTGGCAAGGCGGCAACCCAATCAGTTCCTTTATTTGAGATTCATGATGTAAATAATTCGACCTGTCGTGAATTATCATTGGAACAGATGAATGATTATTTCGACAATATTGATTTTAAAAATTAGTAAGCAATATAAACATATGTATATGAGAAATTAAATGAAAACATCGATGAATATTTAATGTTATGTATATAGTACATATTTTTATAATAAATCCAACAACCGTACATAAGATCAATTTTTTATTATTCAATTTCATTTCAGTATCATTCTCCGTACATTTCGTAAAAAAAAAACATTCGAACGAAATCAGATTTTAATAAATTAATAATATATCTTATATTTCATGAATCGTGTTCATAATTCAGGATGTAACGCTTTTACGAACAGCAGAGGATTAAAGAGTTACAAGGAATAATGAGAAAGAATAATAAAAATGATAAAGAATTTTAAAGTATATTTTTATGATTATATATCTTTAACTTTTATGTAATTTATGAAACCAATTGGAGGAATACGCGAGAGGATATGTTATAATAATACAATAGCCACAATATTGAAAATATATTGCAATGTATACACTCTTACATTATGAAATATTTGAAAGCTCTTCTAATATAGTTTGCGTATCTAAAGTATTAAGATCTATCGAAGCCCGTGTATCCACAATTATTCCAGTCACCTGGAAAACAATAATGTTAAAAATGTCATTTATAAAACTTTAGATTTCATTTAATTACCATTTCTTCAAAAAACGCGGTATGATTAGGCTTTTCCGAATATCTCTCGTACTGATCCAGATTATCCTGCAGTTTCAAAGCGAGACTATCATAATTCTGTATTATGATAGCTAGAATCTGTTGTTCCGTTGGCGTTGATAAGCTTTCCTTTGCTAACCATGCAGCTATCTTTGGTGGAAAATGATTTACTATGTCCCTCACGTTGACGAGAGAATTCGTTAATTTAAGTGCGTGTTCCTTGTACTCATAAGATTCACTAGTCGAATATCTAAGTGCTGGAACATTTCCAAATATTTTTTTATCATTTAAATATTATTATATTGAATTAATTGTTTTAGAAATATAATTATCAATAACTTACCCATGGCATTCAAATTGGTAAAGATGAGCCTCATACGAATAATTTCATAAAATAATTCATCGTAACTATTGGGAGACGATAGGAATGTATCAGCGTACGTAATAAAAAAATTTAAGATGTTCACCACCTATTGAAAGATAACGAAAATATTATTTAATTCGATTACACAATGATGAAATATCTCCTTACCTGAATAGCTAAGGGAAATATATTCATTTTCTTAATAAGATGACTTTCGTGTGTTGTTAAAAATTTAAGTAGATTGATTAATGCAGTCCAGAGATCTCGCCACTGATAACCGAGCCTAACACGACATCTTTTTTGGTAGCATAACAACCTTTGCAGAACACCGATACATTGATGATATAATTCGAGTGGGAATTTCTTCATCATATGTGATGTCACAAATTCAACGAGCAAATCTATAATTAAGAAATGTATATAATAAGTTTTTTTAAAAACACGCAAAAGCACGCAATTTTTGAAATATATATATATTAAAAAAAGATACCAAGTAACGTAGCTGCAAGTGGTTGAGCAGGAGCTGCTTTATCTTGCAACTTTCTGTGATGCATAGGTACTCTATGCAATTGGACTCTGAATGCTAAATTTGCGTCGTGCATCAAACTGTTTGCATACTGGTCTTCTGCGATGCAGCTTAGTATCAAAAAGCACAGCTTTACGTTGTTCATTATAGCTTCCGTTCGAATAACTTGCATGACTATCGAACTGTAACAGGAACATCAATATCTTATAATTGTAACAAATTATAAGCAGCAAATTATTGAATTAAATAACTTTAATGTTAATTTATATTTTCATTTCCTCACCAATACTGCAGAAAAGTTGCTAGTAGATTAAACGGCTGAGCCATTACATCGGGTGGCGAAGCACCAGGAGCTACTGCATTTGGACCTAGAGTATTATTTGGCGAGGGAGGCGCACTGGTATCGCTTTGCGTATAGGCCAAAGTAGTTACAAAATTACGATTTAAGTGTGTAGCCTCATATAAAGCTAAAAGTAAAGCGTTATTCGCGCGAACTTGTTGCGTTTTCGCTTCCTCTTCTCCGACGAACATGCTACCGACTATACTGGTTAACGAAGACAGCCAAGATGCTTGTATTTCTGGACACATATTGCGTTATTATTATTATATTAAAAGATGTTCATCATGTGTCTGTAAATAATTATGCTATTACAATAAACTATTATGTTTCGCGATACCTGCTCTTTGTTGAGCAAATTGCCGGCAAAATTCCGTTAACGAACTCGATATGGCTTGCCCGTATCCATTGAGGGCTAATTCATCGTCCAAAATCGATAATTTGACGATATAGGGATTTGCACTTTCATATTTTCGATAGTTGACTAGAAGTGTTAATAGTAAAACTGCATCATGGCCATGGCGATTTCTAGCAGCAGTATCTCTCAATAACTATAAATAACATAAGTCACTATATTAATATGTAAAAATTCGAATTTTATTTATAGAATCTTATGCAGATATAAAAAGTTAATCTATAAACATCTAACATACTTGAATTAGTGATTCAAAAACACTGTTCAACATCACATATTCCAGTAAAGTATTTTGGCTGATATTGTCCATACCGGTAACTATTATCAACAGTAACTTCAGGCACAAAGCTTTCAAACTATCTGGATATTCACCTGAAAAAAGAATTCTTTCCTGAAAGAAAAATTCTTTTCTCCCATTTGTTTTTACTTTTTCTTCTTAATATATATAGAAAAATATTACTCAAACCATAACATTTATTATTAAACTATTGTCTATGTATTACCTGTTAAAAAATTATTACAATGCTGCATTAACGTAGTCATTCTTTGCTCTGCAGAGTCAAAGCCTACTAGAATATCTATTAAATTAAATCCATAGTCTCCCTGGTTGGCTTTCTTGTACATAGATTGGATGACAGCTGCTAAAGTCTGCAGCGCGTACACTATCCTAAATGGATGTTCATCAACTAACGTATCCACACAATGGCATACTAATGCATTCAAATTTTCTTTGCTGGCATTTAATTGCTCTGATGTCATATGTAGAATCTCATTTTCTATATGAGGTACCTAAAATATCATTTTCATCTATGATTATAAGTGTTGAAAGTATTGAAAAATAGTTAATTTAAATTTAATTCTGTACATGTGTGGAAATACATAAAAATATATCTCTTTAAGTATTTAACAAACCATATTGATTGATCAATAAACAGTGCTTAAACATCCATAAAAATAAATATTATTTCTTGTTTTATTGTTAAAAAACATGTTCTAAAAAATACATACCATAGGTTTAATGAGAAATAATTCATTCCAGAAATTTGGATGAGCTAGCGTCAAGTCTTCACCTTTAAAGAAACTTTCATAAATTGGTACCAGTTTGCATTTGTGTTGACGTTTGGCACCAGAGCCACTCCTTTTTCTCATAGCCATTGGTATGATAAATTATTTCTCTTTGTTCATATTCAAACTATAGAAAATTGATGTTAGCGTATAGTCTTTTCATAAATAATGCAATTGTGATCATCTTAGATTTTAATGAGTTCTCTACGATTAGAGAAAGTACTATACATCTATATATTTAATTCGTTACGATTAAAAAAAAGTATTTTTTGCGTCTTTATTTATTAAAATCTAAAATCTTATTGCATAACATAAATTTAGAATATAATACTATTATATGATCCGTCATGTTACATTTACCTATATCGTGACTAATGTACAATTATAATAATAATAATAATAATATAAAATTCAGTATTAATTCTCACCGAACTTCTTAAAATATATATATTACATATATGAATAATTAGAATTCAATCGGAAGTACCAGCCTTTACATCCGATGTTATCGAATTAAAAAAAAAAGAAAATAAATTTCTAGGTTATAAGACGACTTGTCAGGGAATGTGCGCCTGCTTCTCTCGATTGTGAAGACCTCATGTGGCGAAAACACGAAATTCCGCATCTAAAATTATCAATGTTAAAAAAGAAATTCTCCATGTTTGTATTAAAACTTTTTTTTTTATTTTAACATCTTATTTTCACTCTCTATTCTTCTAAATTTGATAAATATATATTTTGTTAAAAATTCGTTGTATTATTTATGCGATTCAAAGATAGAAAGAAGAAATAATGTTAGTTTATTACTACAAAGCTTTATTTTGTAAATATTGCAATTTTTTATAAAATTATACAAATATGAGCACCATCTATTCAATTATTCGATCGATCCATTGGATATAACTTACATTTAACATATTTATTGCATTTTCATTATTATCTAGAGAAAAACATTTGTTATAAAAAAAAGTAACAAATATTCGAAAAATAATAATCACAACTTTCTAAAAAGATATCTGATATACAATAATAATATCACATTTTTAAGTAAAAAGTGTCAAATTCTTGGCTCTGCAGTAGAAAGTAAATTCAAGCAACAAAAAACAATTAACAATTTGTTTACTGTCTTAAATGAATTTTGATTTTATGATATGCGTTGCAAAGCAACCCTCGAATATTATAGATATTATCGAAAGTTTCCGGTTGCACATTATACGCGGAGTCAACCGCTTTCGCCCAGATTTCGACTTCCTTGGAATTCTTGTCCACGGGAAGTTCTACGTCCCATAACGTCCAACTCCAATATCGACCTTGTTTTGCCTGAAGATCTTCCGTCAAATTTGCTGTATGCCAAGTCTTACCTTCATAATCAAATAGGAAAAGTGACAATAAAAAGCATTTAATAAAAAAAGTAAAATTTCAGCGTTATTTTTCTTACCTTTATCATTTGTGATATCAATACGGATAATTCTGTGACCACCACCAGACCACGCGTAACCTGAATGAAATGATATTTTATGAACATTTAAGAATTTTTTAAGATACAATATTTATCATTACAATAATAAAAGAAAGATGTTTCATACAATTGTTTCGTTTTCGCTTTTACCTCTCACTTGTATTTTTCCGTTCTTGATTTTAACTATATCCTCGTTTTGTGGATCACATATAGCTGATATTACAGGCATTTCCTGTATCGCGGGCGATTTGCTAAAGTCCACATTGTCCCAATTCGTGCTGGGAGAAAATCCCTTGTAATCGCCCTGTTGCCATTGTGATTGACTCTCCTCCTTTGTTACGCTAATTTTACCTAAATAAATAATTTGATATAAATACAGAATCAATAACTACGCGATCATATAGGGACTCGGAAATTTTTCATACTTAGCCATTTCACATTCCTCGCGCCCACAACACCGGGAACGATAACTCTAATCGGAAATCCATGATCTCTGCTTAATGGTTCGCCGTTCATTTCATAAGCTAAAATCACATCTCCTCTTGGATCCATGGCTTTAGATATCGGAATACTTGCACCATACGGCGCACCAGATGGATCTAGATCATATCCCTCAAACTATAAGAGTAAGATAAGAAAATAATTTTTGATCAATATGTTTTTAATGCAGACTGTAGATTATCTATATGTCGGAGTACCAAAAATTATGTATTTTATTTCCAGTATCAGAGTTATATCAAGTATCTTCTATTGATCTTATCAAAAGAAAAGGAAACTTATACAATTAAAATAAAATACTCTTTGCCTTATGTTAGTATTATAAATAGTTAAATTTCTATTTAAAAAAGTACCTGAACATGACTAAACACATCTTCATTGATTCCTAAGTCTTTTAATACGTCGCATAATCGTGCACCCGTCCATGTTGCGTTCCCAACAGCACCCACATTCCAGTTGATGCCTTTTAATTTTTTCACCTATAAATAAATTAACAAGAATCTGTAATTGTTATTTAAGAACTTCGAACAATTTTTTATATAAAACTACCTTTGACATATCTGAACGTCTATTTCCACCACACATTACAGCTGCTGTAATTGTTGTTTTCTTATATTTTTTTATCATCTCAAAATCAAGTGTCTTCTTGGTGGTTCCTTCTATTGCCAATTCTAGTGTATAATCCTTTAAATCTATTTCAGGCACAGGCAAGTGATTTCGTACATAAAAGAAATCACTGAAAAGATCAGATTAGTGCAGTATAAAAAAAATATATAGAGAAAATTAATTCAGATAATAACTCTTACACTGGTGTAAGAAAACTTTCAACTAATAGTGGAGATGGTGGTTCTGCACAGAAGGGTTTATTTCCATTAATTATTAGAGTCTTATGCCTAATAGGTTCATTAGAATATGGATCATATGGATCGCTCTTGTTGGATTTAGCATCATCTTCTGATATATTTCCAATTCTCATGGATTCTAGCATAGAATATATCTCTGGTGTATTATGATTTGCGAATATGCGCCAAAATGAGTCGATGGAACCTCCCGCAGCCATCAAGATCTTCGAGGGTCCACCTGGATGCTTGTCAACAAATTCTGTTATATCGTAAACACCTTGACCGAATGTTATCCAAATACGATTCTCTTTGCAATCATGTTTTCCTACTTCTTCCAAGGTATAAGTCTTCAAGTCCTTTCGTAATTGACCACATTGTATATTGTGTGTTGCACTGAGAGCATAAACATTTCTTTTGTATTTGAAAGTGTAATAAGATATACCTAAAGCCGACGCGGCAATGGCAACACACGTTGCATACAACAAAGCAGGATTTTGCGTATTCTTAGATCCTTCATGCTCTTTCTCTGTTGGATACTGCTGGCAGGCATTATAATTTTTTATTATCAGCTGTAACGATGATATTTGCGACCTGAAATTAATTACAGAATGAAACTAAAATTTTTAAAAAACATCTATTCACAAAAGTATATTATATAAAAAATAATATTGTGATTCAGAATAGTTAATAACGGTAAAACCAATGTAAATACCTCTGTCTTATCCCCCGAAATATTTTCCAGCGTAAACTCATGATATTTTTTTGCGCAGACAGATTATTTTTTTTATTAATGTTTTGTTGTGACGTCGACGTCAAACCGGTGTCAACCAGTAACCAACGGCCTGACGGTTATGTTCGTAATGGTTCTTGCACACAGAACGCGTCAGTCCACTTATTGGTCGACGCATAATACACATGAGTTCTATGTGTAGAAGCCCTAAGAATTAAAGAGCAATGAAGTAATGATTTTTAATTGATTACCTAAATTCGCCATATGTAATGTACACATCAGACATAATAATAATAAAAACCATAATAATATAATTCTTTCTATTTAATTATATTAAAATAAAAAAAATATAAAATATATAGTATAAGATTATTTCCGCCGATTTTCCTCCTCAGAAATGTGATTTTTCTTCTTAGAATATGTTCTATTGCATATGAAAATGCATAAATTTATATAAAATTACACGAAAATCGGAGGAGGGAGTGACTGCATATTTACCAAAATATTTTTTAAAACAATCAGTCACGTGGCACCTCTTGATAGCGCATGCGCAAATGCCGACACCTAGTGCTGTTATCCCAAAATTGACAACCATCTGATTGACATCGCGCGTCGTGCGATCGAGGTTGACGAATGAATTTTTCGCGTGTGTGAGTGATTTTTTTTCAATTTTATAGAAAAATCTCGAATGCATTTGATTGTTCGTTTATCCGCGATGCCGAAATTCGGTGGACTCGCGGCGGGCTCGATCAGGTCGTGAGACAGGTTCTATTTCGATTGATTCTAAATGTTCTAATTCGGCATGGACGAGATTTCAGAGCCCTTTAGGGATGAGACAAATTTTGCCGAAGAGCACGATCGCGCCGATCGTGCCGATGTCACAAGGCATGATGTCCGTCCGCTTGAAGGTACAAATTTAATTCGGAGTAATATGGTATCCTATTTCAGCATCTGTCAGATCGTTGCGAACTGTCACAGCTACATTAAAACCCAATCACTTTTTCCAGATAAACATCAAAATGGCAAAAAAGTTTTTCTATAAGCAAATTCAATTCTTTAGATTTTACTATTATTTATGTGTAATATAAAACTTTCTTATTAAATTGTCCTTTTTCTAGAGTTTCTTATTAAATTATTAATTTGTATGTAATGAACAATAATTCAGAAATAATTAAAGTTTTTTTTCACACTATTACTTTTTATAATAATTATTTGAATATTTTTGTATCAGGAATGGCAGTGGAGGATAATATTTCATCTGTGCAAAATGATCATGGAAATAACATGTTTAAAAAAGAAAGCAGTTTGACATTAAACAAAAACGGTGAAGAATTGGGATTAAATTGTTTAACTGGCAATATCGGCTTATCCATCGCTTTCGAGGAAAATAAGTCCAGCCCTAACATTCCTAATAAAAAACTTCAAACTTGTCAGTTGTCCAATAGCGAGAGTCGTCTTTCATACGACAGTGAATCTCTTCGCAATTCACTTTCTTATCATATAAGCGTTTCATTACCTGCGATATCGTCCTCAGATTCGTACTTAGTCAGAGATAAAACCAGAGCACTTGAAAACAATGTACATACACAGGCAAATATAGCAGCAAGTTGCACCGAGGAAGAGACGTTGTTTAATCAGTCAAGTGATGAGAAGAAGCCTTCACCTGATTCCATGAACAAAGGAAGTATTCGAGCGTGCGAGAGTAATTCAATTCTGGAAGATGAATGCGAGAGAAATTGCCTTAAGGAACAGATAAACAAAAGCAGTATACCCGAAGTGAAACAATTTTCTGGAGGGGTGATAGATCCACGATTACAGATGGATAATAAAGAGACCTTGAATGAGGGGAGTCAAGCCGAGATAAATGCATGCAAGAAGAATGAGCCGAATTTATCTTCGGCATTAAACATGAATACGCGAGGTTTGGTGTCTCGACCAACACTAGCCGACGATAGTAAACTCGTAAAAATGTCACTTTTGACAAATCCAATGAATATAATGCAGTCAAATGTTCAGCTCCTAAACAAGAGCCGTAATTTTTTAAACTTTATTACAGAGAAGTCGACAAACATTATGGAGAAAGCTTTACTGCCGCAGCATTTGGCAATGAAATACAATCACATATCGAAGTCAGTCGAAACCGACTCCGCGAGATTTTCTACCGGTAACGTGTCTTCCTCCACGAACGCAGCGTCTAAATTGGACGCGGATTCAATAGTAAATCGGAATAATACAAGTACGATAAAACATAATCACGACGAGAGCGAAGATAAATTAGATAACGTAATAAATAACGATAAAAAAATACATCCAGTTGCATGTGTGAAAGAAAATAAAAGGTATGATGAATTTGAACAACAGCTATTACATAATCTTGAGAACGAAGTGGTATCAGGTGGGAAGAAGTGTGCTTTTAAAAACAATGACTTGAATAGATTAGATTATGATGTAATCAATGAACAAGTGAAGGGCGACGTGTCAACGGAAAATAAAAGTTTTTTGCAGACGGAAGAATTATACGATGACACATATAAAAAAGACTCATCTAATATTAGTACTTTAGCAGATTTAGATATTTTGAAATACGGCTCGCTGGAGCATCCGTTGTATCTAGCTCTGTTAGAAGATTATATCAGTTTAAAACTGAAACATTCGAAGCTGTTAGAGAAAACGGTCGATTTAGAAAAATCGAATAGATCGAACGGATCGTTTCAAGAAACGGAAGCGCTTGTCTCACAGGTGGAGAATTTGGAGAAAGCTGTGAATAAATTAACCGCCGACCTGAATGCGTCACTGGACACACAAGAAGCCCTGAAGAAGGAATGTATTTCTGTTAATAAGGAAAAGGAAGATATGGTCATGAAATATGTAACTAGTGAGAAACAATTGATCGACACACAAAGGTATAAGGCTATAAGAAGAATGATCTATAATTTAGCTAAAATATTTTGTAGGCATGTTGATAAGAGTAAACTTTATAAAATTACAAATATTGAAAACAAATGTTGAATAAAAAAAAATAATCAAACGAATTATAGAAAATATTTTCATACATACTTTTTTGTACGTTGCTTTTTTATATCATGCCTATAATAATTTAAAAGAAAAGATTGCTAGTAATTAGTTAGCTTATTTATGATAAATCAATAATATATATATATATATATATATATATATATATATATACATATTAATCGTTTGAGTACCATAGATATTTGTGTAGAAATGAAGCGCGATTGTATTATTTTTTATATTCGTAGGACTTTTTATTCATATTTTATAAGAATGTTACAGTATTTGTAAAAATTACAAATGCAAAAGTTTCGATTTAATAAATCTGAGCGTATTATCAATTGAGTTTATTGAATTGCCGCGATATATAACGAGCAACAGAAACGGGAATCACGTCGCGTGGTATCAAACGACTAAATTATACCTGTTTTGCTTCATAAAGTTGAATTCAACGTATGTAACAGAGCGAGAGACTGCACGGAACGTCGAATTAAGGAGCTTCTAAAGGACCAGGAGTTACTACAAAATAAGTTGCGTCAAACGCAAGGTGAGCGTGCAAGGATATGTAATATCCTAGATGGGAAATGTCGCGAAGTATCTGATCTTCAGAAAGAGATGGAGAGTTTAAAAGAAGATGTTAAAACGAAAGAGATCAAACTTAAATGGACGCAAAATAAACTCAAAACTGAGATGGAGTCGCAGAAGGATACTCAACAGAAATTAGATAAAGCTTTGGTAAAATAGAATGCAATATAATAATTTTGTTCTCTCGTATAACTCAAGTCGCGTGGAAAACAGTAGCTCGAAAGTGTGTTTTGAATTACATGAGTTACTATTCTAATGGAATATCAATACTATTTAGATATATGTTGCAGATGAAAATAAATGATATGAAGGAGGAGTGCGAGCAGATACGCCGCGAAACGCAGGAATCATTTCGTAAATTTCAGCAATCTGAAGAGAATAAAGCCGTGACATTGGATCAACAGCTGAAAGAGCATCAGGCACGTTTGATCCTGGAAAGACACGTTACGGAGGATAAAGAAACGTTGAGACTTCAGTTGCAAAAGGAGCTGGAGACGCTGAAAATTAAGCAGCAAAATTTAACCGAGGAAAATAAGAGGCTTAGCCTAAAACTACAAGAGTCTGAGAAAGCTCGATTGAACAATGAAAATGATTTGAGTGATTTAAAGATCATCGCGGATCAGCGTCAGAAGCAAATTACTGAATTATTAGATAAAGTCTCTCAATTAGAAGCATTAAAATTCCAACTGCAACAGTAAGCGTATCACATTTGACATATTAATAATAAATATTTAACAATTACCTTAGTAATAAAATATTTGTTTCGTTTGCGCAGGAAAGAAGAACATATGGCGTCGATAGAAATGGAATTGCTGCAGTTACGATCGACCAACGAGGAACTGCGATCTGACATGCAGGCATGCCGGCAGAAGGAAGCGGATATGTTGGACTTTACTCAAAAACTGACGGATACGAACGTGCGTCTTCAATCCGAATTCACTGCGATTCAAGGAAAGGCGGATCATCTTGAAGCCGAGCAGGGCCCGCTACATGATTGTATCAGTGAATTGACCAGCAGAATCAAGACTTTGGAAGAAGACTTGAAGCAAGAACGCAAAAAGCGAAGAGAGGAATGTGAGATTCTAGCTAAGCATGTTGCTGAACAGACACAATTCGCGCAGAACTTTGCCCAGAAATTGGAAGAAGCGCAAGGTGAATACACACTATTAAAGAGGAAACACCAAAGTTCTATAAAAGAGTTGACACGAGAATTGCAACAATGTCGTAGAAAATTAGAGATATTTGAAGCTACATCTCCCAGTAATTCATTGGACAATGCATCTAGGACCGGATCTAATACTTCTTTAGCAGGTTTGTTAATTCAACCTTTTATCGATGCTAAATAGTTATTATAAATTTCGATATGGGATTACGACGTTAAAGATGTATATTTCGCACATGTTTTTTTTAGGTGATACATCAAATGGTGCCTTATCAGACAACAATGCTAATAGCGATCATACTAACTCTTTAGAATCTAATAAACAAATACTAATGGATCGCATTATACAGTTGCAAGAAATAAATGTAAAAAGGGCGGAAAAGTTAGATTTTTTAGAAGGACATACACAGACATTAGTCGAAGAATTACAGAAGAAAACGAAAATAATACAAAATTATATTTTAAATCAAAGTTTTGGAGCTCTGACATGCAACGAAAGAGATCGATATAAGGTAAGCATTTTTTAAATTATATCTTATCTTGCTATGTAGATAAAAACAAGAACAGATATCTAAATGTTAAGATCACTCTGTATATTAGATTTAAATTTTTTATGCTTACACGTTTATTTTCTGTATTCAAGCATAGCAAAAGCAGAAGGGATATAGTAAGTGTCAAAAAATAGATTTTCTATAAAATGATGTTAAAAAACATTATATATCAAAAGAAATTATTAATTTATATATGTATTATATTTATTAATTAAATATATTCTAAACAACACACATGTATATATGTATTTGTTGCAGGTAGAGTTGGCACGACATGGAGGTATAATGGCATCTGTTTATAATCACCGAGTTTCGGATGAGAATATGACCTTAGAACTTTCCTTAGAAATAAACCAAAAATTACAAACAGTTCTCGAAGATACATTATTAAAAAACATCATGCTAAAGGTAAATATATCAAATAAATACAAAAGAATTTAAAGATATATTAAATAATGAGCCATTGCATATTAAATTGAACATTTTTGGAAATTTTATATATTCACTCTGATTTTTACAGGACAATATTAATACATTAGGTAATGAGATAGCAAGATTAACAATGCAGCATCAAAAACATATTGACAATTAATAATTATTACATTGTATAAGTATGTATATAATACATCTATACATAATCCACATACATAAATTATATATATGTACATTTAAATTATATCATTTTATTTCAAGTGCATTTCCAATTTATTTGTATTTATGTAAATTTATTTATTATGTCTAGTTAAATAATGCATGTTCGTATATTACACACACACACACACACACACACACACACACACACACACACACACACACACACACACAACATAGTATATGTTGCAAGAGTGAAACATATTTATTATGTTTCAATGCTTCGAAATAGACTCAGATAAACAAAATTATATTTAAACGTTACAATATGTATTATAAAATTATATTAAGAAAATGACACGACGTGTTTCATTTAATCAAAACTAAGCGATTCCTCATGTAACATTACAAAGAAAATTTTATTAAATTCAAAAATTAAATTTAATTTAATTTTTGAAAACATGGCCTGTTTAAAAAGATCGTCGAATTATACAATGATAATTCAAGCACGCAATGTCGTTTGAAAATAATATTTAGGAAATATTGGAAATATTTCCTTCGAGCTTTAAAAAGACAAATTATGATAAACTATGATCAATGTAATAATTTATATATATTAATTAGATATTTAAATTTCTACTTACTAAAAATTTTTGCTTACTTTAAATCAGAGAATGAATAAGTAGGCATTTTGATGAAACGAAAGACAACGCTATAAATCTGGTAAATAAAAGTTTATTTTGCAAGTTCAACTAGATTGTTTTAATTTCTAAAGTACTTATACCTAGAGGCACTAGTCAAGCTTAACATCTAATCGACTACAAATTCATATTACACTCGACAGTTAATACTTGATTTATGCTCAGGATCTCGATCATAGTATATACTTGAGCGTATAATAAAGAATTGTAATCGAAGTAAAATTGGCTAAATCTAGCGATTAATATCTCTAAAACTTACTCTGAGTCATTTACTTTGGATCGTGTGTTTCTTTTTTTTCTTCGTCTTTTAAAGATGAGCTATCATTACTGTGATATTCTAATCGTATTCTATTATATCGTATCGTATTGCACGGTGCGATAATAAAATGTGATTGCATTTCATACTTAAAATACTCGTAAACTCACGACACGTGATGGAAGAAGAGATAAAGGAAATAAATATATATATATGTAATTTTACCCTAACAAGATTATTATTACTCGATGAAGTACGCTATAAAATTGGACTCGGTCTTCGTATTGCATATTTAACGGTAAAATATTATTTGCCTTTCGATAGCAGTTTCAATATTTAAAAATTATCCATAACAGTTAAAATTACGTTTCGTTTCTCTTTTCAAATATAATCGATAACGTCGTTAAAGTGCTACAAATATCAATACTGACACCTAATAACGACCGCAATAATGGTGTATGAGAATGCTGAATTCAATGCTTATGTTACTTTAAATGTCATATGTGATAAAGAAAATTGCTATAGAATAATAGATTACTGCCTGTTCAGAGTTATGTCACATACGATTTCCTTATATAGTATATATTGCAGTGTTCTCAAACTTTAAATCACGCTTAAAATTCGTAAATACACTTTTCTTTTGTGCAAACGATAACTCACAAGTGAGAACTCGGATAGATTAGAAGAAAACTCTTTTTCCGTTTTCACGGATCGTGTGATTATGATACATTTTTTTTTTTTATTTTCTTATCCTTCTTGTTCTAAATAAGCATTATAAATGCACGATATAAAAAATTGTATTTTCTATTTCTTTTTTTACTTTATGTGCAATCCTTTCGAAAAAAATAATTCATTTTTCGCTAGTGTCAAAGATACTTCCAAATCTCTATTTATTCTCCAAAATTTCTTGTAATTCTATCTGCGTACTTCTAATAAAAAAAATATTCCTAAGATAAAGAATATTAAAGGATATCATGATTAATAGAATATATTAAAAAATATTAAAAAAATATAAGTCATGAGATAAACGAGCAATTACATCAGAATCCGTTTACAACAAACATCTCTTTTGCATCTTCTTTTGTTGAATGAGGCGCAAGGAAATAGAGAATAAAAGAAATAATATTGTTCATATCTCGTGAATACATTTTCAAAAAATAATAAATTAAGACAAACAAATTCTTACAATTCGAAAAATATTTTGTAGGTCAGACAGTAATCTTAATGTACCGGGTAAAAAATCAGAATAGCTTTCTTAAATTTTATAACATAACTATAGCGCATTTACAAGCAGCAAATTATATTTATGCGAATATATATATATATGGCAAAGGAAAACATCGTACTGTCCACAAAATGTTATATTGGTTTTTATTTTTTATATATAGAGTATCCTCTCCAATATACACGCATGTAATGTATGTGTATATAATATATATTTTTTTCAAGAAATATATATGAGTATGTATATCGATTTGAGTTATATGTATATTGCAGGATATTCTGTATATGAAGAATCAAAAGTGACGTGGTATTGACGAGCGCAGCATTCTCTTTTACAGACAGTACGACGATATTTATCCACGCGTAAACATCTCGCGTATTACATAAAATCATTTCCTATTGAAAACCTAATTATGTTGTTCTTTCGACGAAGTATACCTATCAGAAAACAGGCGAGAAGACAAAGTAAAATTCTTTGAGCTGTTACTGCGTATTGCGCTTGGCACAAATACACGATTGGTATCACATATTGACTGTACACTAGCCAAACACTTTGTCGCCGCACGCAAAACTGGAAAAATCATCGAATATATCTCATTTATAGAAAACAAGCTGTTTCCCGGACGTAATATTTTGGACAATCTGACCGTGGGAATCCTAAATACATCAGCTTACTGCATTGAAAAACACAAAAAAAAAAAAATAACCGTTCCATATTCGTTTAATTGTTTGCGTGTGCGACATGCGCTTAATTTAAAATTCATTCTCTTCCTCTCTAATACATAACACTCTTCTTAGAAAATTATATTTATCTAAAATAACATTTCGTTTCATAATGATCGGCCTTATGTGTGGAATTCTAAAAGGAAAAATATTTTTGGTATTACGCATTACGTTAAATCATAATTAAATGAGTTCTTTATGCAAAACTGGACCAGCACGGGCAGTGTGTCACTACGGCAGAATTGCATTAATCATAATACTGGCACAGTGAGGCAATGACCTTAGGATTCTCTCTAAATATGCTACATGGATACTTACTAACATATTTATCTGGAAAATTATGCAACTGTTCATGTCGCGTAAGTTATTATCGTACTCTTCCTATATTCCCATTTTCATTTAACTCTTATATTTAAATATGATTGAAAGTAATAACCAACCGCTACGTTAAATTAGCTGCGGACAGTTGCGGGCTTGATATACATATATGTATAAAAGAAAAAGTCTTAGTTTATATTAGATAAAATTCTGTCAGTATTTATAAAAAAGAAATATACGTGCTCTAAAACAATGATCTTTCATTATTCATTGTATAATGGTTTTCTACCTTTCTGCTTTCTGCATGAATCGACTATAAGACTAATTTTTGTGATCTTGGACCCTGCTGCTCGCGGAAAATACGATGCGATGATGTAAAAGAGTATATAGTTGTTTTAAAGCGTATGCTCTTTATAACTTTACTAAGTGTTCTCTCAAAGTGTTTTCTTTTATTAAATACAAAGGAAACGATTAATTCTTGTCTTGCAATCACTGTTTTCGAACATGCACTTTTTTTATATATCTGAATAAAAATTTATCTAACATATATAAACTAAGATTGTAGACTTTGCAACGAAATATATGAAATATCTGTTATCTGAGTATCCTGTTATTAAAATACATACGATTCGTTCTTAATTTGTTTCTGTTAAGATTTCTGTATAATATTCAAACAATAAAAATCTTCGCTATAAAAGATGGGTAACAAAGATTTTCAGATATAATCTTGTTTCTAATAAGAGTAATGAATAAACGAAACTACCATAGATTGCTATTGTAATGGAAAATTGTAATTATCATGCAAACGTTTGTGAGAAATTCTGTCCTGCCTTTTCCGTTAAACTTTTGCGACGAAGTTAGTATCTTTTACGATTAAGATCCATTTGTCAGATCTGAATCCAATCACAGCCGTAGAAGATGCAAAGTGTCGCAACTTAATTCGTTGCTATATCTAATGTCCTACAAAAAGATCCCAGATAGCATTTTGTTAACTCATAGAAGATAACAAGATTCCAGATAGCATTTTGTTAACTCATAGAAGATAACAAGATTCCAAGTCTCAAATTCTTCGAGATAGAAATACGCCAAGATCATGATCGACGCCGCTAACATGCACAGTTACACGAGGATATGTCATTGTGTATGATACATGATGTTCATGTCACGCGTGCATAGAAGATGTGTGTTAGATACATTACATCGAGCGACAAGCTTTACTGAAGAAAAAAAAAAAAAGAAATAGCGATTATCTGTAAAATTTTCTGACATAGAATGTTATCTGGGGACATCGTAGGTACAATGCGTTCGTATACAAGATACTAATGTTTGCCTCTTAAAATTATTTCGATTTCAAAATTATTCGAAATTGTGATTGGAGATAGCCTAGGATTATGTAAACAGATCACGCGAATGGACAAATAAGAGTAAAGTGCAGGAATGTCTATATCATGACAAAAATTATTTTGCACAAAGAAAAGATCATCTGTACAGGTTCACCAAACGTGATCTTTAATCACTTTGTGCAATAGAGAGTTGGAAAGATTTCTGTAAGCAATTCTGTTACCATTGAGCCACGCTATTACTAAGAAATTCCATATGGATATGTGCTGAATTGATCTTTCGTCAACAACTATTGCTATTAACACGTCAAAATAATATAAGCTTGAAAGTTTTGATGCAAATTTTTTTTTCTATCAACTACACCGTACACAACGAAATGATTAATAATTATCGATAATTCGTAATACACTGTGTGAACACGGTAAATATACTGAGATCATAAGGCGCAAAAGAATACATGCGCGAGATCCTACGATTTATGCTTTACTGATACCAAATTCTGCCATATTATGACACGCCGAACGAGCGATCTATTTTGCACTAGGAACTGCGTATTTCATGACAGAATTCTTTGTATTGTTTTTTGCTGCAATATTGTTAGTCTGATTTAGTCAGATATCGATTTCAAACATGTCTTGCTCGATTGGCTTTTTCACCCAACTTCCAAGCCGTGCTTTCACGAAAGCATCCTTCAATTTTTCCTTGGCAATCTATTCAAGAAAAAAAAAATGAATCGAGATACGGTGTATAATAAAGCATTAATCAATATGTTGCATGTACTGTTGTTATTCGCACGAGACGTAATCACTTACCGAGTAATCTTTTACTGAGGATTTTGCATCGAAATAATGGCGACAACGATTCTCGTCAATAGGTTCGATGGTTGGAAGTTTACCTAAAAGATTAAAGAACCGCCTAAAGAACGCTTGTTTAGATATTCTGGAAGGTTTCCCTAGTTCATCCTTGCCAGTTGTGCAATTTATAACTTCGGCTTCGCTTTGGCCTATATGATAAAAAAAAAATTGTTAAAATATCTTACAAAATTTGTAAAAAATTAAAGATATGTAAAAGATTACAGACCAACTGTCCAATTGACACTGTAATTAGGCGCTTTCCCTGGTTGTCTGACTTCAGAAGATGTAATCAGACTCATTTTCGGCTTATTAAGTTTATACGGCGGTGGTAACCCCTCAATAGTCAACTCGATACGACCGCAAACAGCTCTATACATATGACTCGGATTCAAGAGACTACCAAGGACAATGCTGTGGAAGTAAATTGGCTCGATGAAGTGGCTTAAGAGTGCGCCCTGCACGCCAAGTACGTTCCATCGAGCTATTTTGTCCGAACACGACATCGTCAGCAGTCTTTGACCCTTTAAATTGGACTTTAAATAAATATAATAAAAAGTAGTCGGTGTAATCTTCCCTTTCTTAACAATAAATTATTTCATTTGTCTTTGACGCAAATACTATATGACACATACCATTAGTACACCATCCCAAGTTTGAATACCCTCGTTGCTCTTTACAGGAATAGTTCCTTCACCGGACTCTATCTTCGTACGTAATTGACCTCTAGCTCGTCTGTTGGGATGTTTATCTATGGATTCATTTTCTTCGTGAGGCGAGAAAATTCTCGCATCACCACAGGGAGCAGTATTTATATATAAATGAAATTGAATTCCTGGCTTTAATTTGAATCCTTTTTCAGTTTGCTCGAGAATAGATTCTGCACCTTTCTCCTCGAGATATAATTCTAATTGTTTGTAGAGATATTCGCAGAGACACCGTCGTGCTACTACTTCCGCGTGGCAATCATTTACAGCACCACCACTAACACTCAAATGCTCGCCCGAAACACATTTCGTACCTTTTATACAGAAAGAGTACTTGAATATAGACATCTCTTTAGAAGAATAATTCAAAGCACTTTATTACTGAAAATTTTGATTCAAATATTATGAAGTAAGTTTATGCCTTACCGGTAGTAACGCATATCAGTTCCGCGTCTTGCCCTTTCGTCTGTACGACACCGGCCAGGACCTTACGTCGCGCGTGTTGAGGTTTGCCTTGAATAAGTTCACCAAATTTCTGGTTCACCATCCTGCCAATGTTGTCAGCTTGCATTTGCGGTAAGGACATCTGTCCTTGCCAAAGTGGAGAATTAGGGAAGTTGGGCGAGCGAATGGGAAGTGGTAAAGAAAACGAAGAACTGTGGACGTTTCGCAATTTAGCTAAGGCGGCTTTACTCGCCGCGGCTTTTGCTAATTTCTTACTCGGGCCCGTTCCCTCGAATGTCTCGCCATCGATAGTTACCGATATCGTAAACCTTGCGTAACTCTCTCCATTATCGGATATACAGTTATATATGACACCCGGATATAATTCATTAATCAATGCTACTGGACCTTTATCTAAGAATTTATTAGTATTCTTTGGCTCTTGTGTTGTTTTAAATGCATTGACAAGATGATTATCACGTTCTGTTACGTCACTTGTAAAATCTGGCTCAAGAGGCACAACAGGCTGGCAAGTATTGATAGCTTGGTGAACCTCAGGTGTATTTCTAAATTGAATGATGTTTCGCAACGCGAGTTCAGCAGCTGCATGCTTCGCCATCTTTTTGGTACGTCCTTTTCCTTCGTACGTCTGTCCATCGATTTGCACAGCGATTGTGAATATTGGAGCATGAGTAGGTCCAGTCTGCCCGACTACTTTGTATGTAGCTCCGGTTTTTAGCTCGTTCAACGCACATACTGCATTCTTCGGTTGTGGATTTTTATGACGTTTCTTCGCGCTGGTAATATCTGTGATATATAATGTGTGAATAATAAATTAAAATTTGCTACTTCTGTGTTATCAAATTGATATTAAACATTAAATAACCATTCATTACTCACTTTCTAAATCTGCATCTGCAGTCCTCTTTAGAACAGATTTTGACAAATTTCCTTGCCTCATCTGTAAGATAAATTTATCAAATAACAATTGCAATTGACGGGTCATTTCATTAAGCAGATCATTTTTAAAAATTCTATATT